AAAAAAAAAAACAAAACTCATTATGTGACGGAGCATAGGGTAGCATTTGCATGTATTAAAAAAAAAAAAAAGGGAAAAGAAAAGAGAGTAAAGATTATATTAACTAAGTGATAGTATGTAATACACGGTTGGGTTGAGTAGAGTAAAAAAACGCAATCATTAAATCACAAAAGGGGTTTTATGAAAAAGTTACACAAAATGATGATCTCATTTATTTTCTAAACTGTATTAAAAGTGGTAATTAAATTTTAACCAGCTCATCATTATCTGTTTTCTTATCTGGTTATGATGGTTTGGATAGAGTTAGTTAGTATTTTACACAGTTAAGTGGTTAGTTAACAATATGTTAATTGCAGTTGTGGTTAGTCAAGCAAGGTTTAGCCAAAAATGTAGTAGTAATTAATGAATTTTATAATTTGTGCCATTAAGTGTATTTTTGTCCTAAATATATAATAAAAAATGTTAAAATTAATATTAATTTTAATATAATTATTAAGTGAATAAATTTAATTAGGTATTTAATAAAAATTAAAGATTAATTTTTAATTTTTTAATATAAATTTATAATGAATAAGACATTAAAAAGCCATAGTTCATTGGATCCATTTGGACCCGAGTTTTGAATCAGATGCTGTTCGGGTTGGGTGACCCGGGACCGTCTGGCCTAGTCAGACCGTTGTGGGCTATCTTCTGAGCTCAATTCTCTTTCTTTGAATTACTGGCTGCATTTGATTTTCAAAACCCAAAAATAAAATAAAATAAGGTATTAGTGTTTATTAGTTAAATCTAAAAAAATTAAAAGAGAAAACACAGAAATTACATTATTTTATTAAAGTACTGGAAAAGACTAATAGCAAATTCATTCATAATTTAAAAATAATTATTTTAGTTATTTTTAATAAAAATTTATTAGAACAACATAATATTGAGATATTTTATAGTTTTGAGATATTTTCTCTTAATATTTTAAAAGTTTTGTCGACAAACACTTTTCACATAAAATAAAACCTTAATGCAGTTTAAATTTGCTAATTAGTATTAATATGTTTAGCAATAAATTTGATTAGCTCATTAATTTTAATTAATTGGAATTAATTAACTTGATACTAATTAATTAATCTTAATTAAAGTTAAAAGTTAACGGTTTTTTTCTAAAAAGTCAACATTGTTAAAAAGTTCAAAAATATTTTCAATTTGACCCCAGTAGTTATTATTTAATGCAATTTGGTCCCTAACGTTTTCAAAAGAAATGCTAAGAACACTCTCTAATACTCTCATTTAAACACCCTCCATGTGATTAAGACATGTGTGCTATAAATTTAATGTGATTCATTATAATTTTTATTTTTAAAAACATTAACTTGAATATCAATTACTAATCACTAATCATATGAAATTTATGTTTCACCTGACCTAATTATATAAAGAGTATTCAAAAGAGAGTGATAGAAAGAGGGTCCCTAGCACTCTTCAATTTTCAATTAAGTTTAATCTGTTCCATGCAATTTTAATCATTATAATTCAGTCCATTATCTTCCAATTTTATTTAATCATGTCCATGCATTTTGAAATGTATCACTTAAGTCTATTAGCTAAAAAATGTTTTATGAGTTGAAATAAGCTCTGCTTTTTAGAGTATACAACCATATGTTATACAGTGGATTTTAAGCTATGTGAATGCTTTATTTCACTCCTAATCATACCCTTAGACCCTAATTTCACACATTTGTTCTAGACTTTTAGGAGATTTGTCCTACTTTATAATTTGACAAGTAGCAATTCTAATTTTTTTTTAAATCTTTTCACATAATTTTCATTCATTTGAATTTAATGTGGTTGTTAATAGAAGAGGCTGGGTGGGAGAGGGAATAGAGAAGGCTTGGGGGCTGAGGGAAGAGAGGACAATTGGAGGCCATGGAGTAGAGAACGATGATTGGAAATCATATCGTGAGATGAGAGGAGGAAAATAAAGGCTTTGTTTGGAAGTGTTGCCTGTTATGCTGTGTTGTAACTATGGATATAGGTGTTTTTGTCTTTTATTATTCAAAAAAATATAAAATATTAATTAAAATTAGTAAAAATATATAAAACATAAATATTTATGTGAATTTAAATAGCCACAATTAATCAATATTTATGAAATTCCTTTTGTTGAATACCAGCTTGGTTTATTCATGCAAGCTCTTCAAATCATTCTAAACGGCAATCAAGTATTTGAAAACATAAAAAAATCAAGTGTACACAATGTTTGTATAGGTAGTACAATAATTCATACTAAATGACAACTCTTATTTGTTAAGGGTATTTTAATATTATTATAATTTAGACTACATTTTCTTTTGGACAGTTCGAATGGAACCGTTTATCATAAAGGCACTAGATGTTGACGTTTCCTAGGGTGTTGAGACCATGGGTTACGACATATATAATATATCCCATAACTGTAGCCTTAATGGCAAAAATTACACTTGTTTTAATGCATCAATTTTTCTTCTCTACAAATATATCTACTCCAATATCGAATTCCCTAGCCGCCTGCCCTTGTCTCCCAAATATTCTCCTTCTTTCCTAATTCCCTAGCTATCACGTCTCTAATGGGAATTTCTCTTCTTTTTTTTTCAGTCTCTTTTTTGTGGGAGTTCTTTTATATTTTTTTATAAGATGTAATGACCCAACCCACTATTGATACTATTTACTTTAACCCATTAAGTCTCATGGTTTTAGAATATGTCAATATGACAACCCACTATTGATAGTATTCACTTTGACTTATTAAATCTCATAGTTTTAAAACATGTCAATAAAAGTTAATAAGTGTTGATTTATATACTCAGTATTTTCCACATGCTTTGTGAATATGGGATTCGAGTGTCCTTACTTAGGTTTACCCTATCGTCATTCAAGAGATCACACAAAATAGTTTTAATGTCACATGTAACAACTCGTTCCACTATTAATATTGTTTGCTCTGGTCCAATGAGCCTTATAGTTTTAAAACACCTAAATGAGGATTAATGGGTATGGATTCATATGCCTAGCATCTCTCTTGTGTTTTGTCGATATTGTGGGATTTGTTTAGAGGTGTCACAAGTGGTCTTTGTTTAAGCTCTCGTAATGTTTTTCATAGGGTTTTACCTCAATTTTGAAGAGGACAGTAGCGTAGTGGTGGGGCTAGCAAGACTTGAACTAGTTGCAGCAAATACTTTGGTTGTTGGTGGCATGATTAAGAGGATGGCAGAGATTTGAATTCTCTTTCGGATTTAGTTCAGGCATCGCTTCGGTGATCCATGCAGGAGACTTTAAGTATCTTCTAAACTAGTAACTCTCCTCTTGAATATGACATTTAGTGGGTGGGGACTATTATTTGTTGAACTACATGGTCTTCCCAAGAAACTGGCATAACATTTGAGAATGGCTTGTAGTTCAAGATGCTCATAGCTACTTTCTTAACGTTAGTAGATCTGTTAATGCCATTACAACAATTGCTATTGTGATATTTATACTATGACTCTTTATACTTACTTGTATATATCTGTCATAGTATAGTTTTCATTTGGAT